AAACCCTCTGTTTTGCAGTCTGAATTTGCTCCACGATGTTATCCATAAGTTATTATCAAGCTGCAATTCTTTGCCTTCCAAAGTGCCTCATCAAGTTCAATCCCCCTCAGCTCTGAGTTTTTCATTTACTCCAGTATAAAAAGATAAAGAAAAAAAATTAAAAACCATCAATGTTTTCTGAATAAATGTCAGGCTTAGAATTGGATCTGCTTCATTGCAGTCCCATCAACTTCGGTTTAGCATTTAATACCAATTGAAGCACTGCAGAGTGTTTTTAATGACATTCCCTGAGGAGAAAATGGTGACAGAGTCAATTTGCTTAGCTATGCCCTTTTAGGAAAACATTCAGACAACTGTGTGGGACAAAGGAGATTGTGTTTAAAACCGTTTTTTGCTGTCTCAATGCGGATACAAATCAATGATCATCCACAGAAAATTACCAGCTATACGTCCCCGAATCAGCTCAAGTTGGAAAACCCGTCGGGAAGATCAAAGCCAACGATGACGACCTCGGTGTCAATGCTGACATCAGGTATAGCATCATTAACTCAGAGGGGACCAACATGTTCTCCATATCTACAGACAGAGACACAAGAGAGGGAATCATCAGCCTGAAAAAGGTAAGGCGTATTCCATCGTGACACAGTACTGGAATCTGTGATAGTGTTTGCTAGACGAGGATTTTAATGGGTAAAAGACAAAAAAAAATGGCTGTGATATTGTCTCACCAGTGCACACAGTCAGAGGTTGAGTTGATGGAGATGTGTATTTAGCACCTATTATTATCTTATGTTTGTCTTTTTGGACTGTGAACTTTTGACAGCGACATTTTTCATATTCATCACTTTTTTTTTTGGGCAGAGCGAGACAAATGTGATTTTGGAGCTGTGAGGGTAACAACCTTGCCTAGTGTGCTAATCTCATGTTGCTGTGGTGCCGTTTCCCCGCAGCCTCTGAATTACGAGAGAAAGAAGACGTACACGCTGCACATCGAGGGAATGAATTCGCACGTGGATCCCCGCTTTTCTTATCTTGGTTCCTTCAAAGACACTACCACCCTCAAGATCACTGTGGGGGACGTGGACGAAGCCCCCGTCTTTTCTATGGATTATTACATCTTGGATGTTTATGAAAACTCTCCAAGTGGCACAGAAGTGGGCACCGTTACAGCTCGAGATCCAGACAACAGGAATAGTCCTGTCAGGTAAGATAATCAAGCTGCATGCATGGAATTCTGCATATAACTGCAGTAATGACTAAAGAAAAGTATCATCTTGAGGCCCAACATTCTCTCATCTGACCCACAGCCCATGTGATGCTGTCAGAAGAACAAATAGATTTGGCACATCACTTTCTTGGAAGTCTGCTTGCTACCCCTGCTTGGATTAACTGGCTGATCAAAAAATTTGTGTTTTCCATGGAAGCTTGTATATTTATTAATGTTGTGGTCCGAAATGAATGATTTTATTTGGCACTAAGGATTTACTGGCAAGATAATTCCACATAGAACCTTGATAGTGTCCTGGCTGCATTCATGAAATGACGTATCAACCAATAAGATAACTTCCATCTGAAACGCCTTTCCCGCTAAAGCAACAGACACCAATAGTGTATCAACACAGCCACTGACAGTTGAAATGAAAAGCATTGATTATTTTGTTACACGGAACCTGGAGCGGGTTGGATATATTCTCTCCTTGAAGTTGATGCGTTAGAACAGGAAAAAAAATGGGCAAACGCTAGGATTGGACCTTGACAAAGACCAAATTGTGATAGCTGGACTTCTGGGTCATTGCATCCCTACGACTGCTGCTCTTGTGGGGTAGTGCAGAAAAACTGGTGAACCAGCAGCAGAGTAATAGACATTCTCTAGGCTTATGGCTTGCGTCCAATGAAAGAGCCACTGTAGCTTAAACTGCTGAAAGGGTTAGCAGCCGTTTCCAGTTGAAAGCTGGCAGAGCACATTATGCAACAAAAATTTGTTGCATTTAGCATCACATTGAACATGGAACCTGGATGGGAGAAATGGAAAAGCAGTGGCCTGCTCTGATCGATCATGCTTTCTTTTGCATTATGCGGATGGTCAAGTCTGACATGGGGGATTAATGGCAACATAGCGCATTACAGACAAAAATTGTTATGTTTTTGTCAATAACTAGACTCACCTACCCTAATGTTTTGGCAGGTCAAAAACACTAGTTTATCAAAAGGAAATTCAAACGCTATCCCACATATATCTAAAACACAGTTAATTATTAGCATTAGCATAAATTAGCATTTATGTGGTATACAAGATAAACTGGTCCAATCCATAGAGGCATCACCGAAAATATTATAAGACTTAATGGATCTGCTTCTTATTTCTTAAGGCCTCAACGAGTGAGTTTTGTTTTTCTAAAAAAAAAAAACAGGAGACCTTCCCAGTCTCAGGCCGGTGGTCAGAGTGCTGTGGCTGTTTGATGGGAACTCCCTGTTTAAATGTGCCCTCTTTATATGATATTTGAATTGGATGTGCTGTGCATTACGTTGTCTGCACATATTTGTCTTCCTTCTAAATCTGCAGAACCCTTTTTTGAATCTTCACTTTTTCTTGCCACATCAAAATATCTGGTTATTTTATCTTTGAGCTTGAGAATTAACCTGAGGCAATGCAATGCTTTGCACATTTGTATGCAGTCTAAACAGATGCATGCGTGCAGCTGAAAAAAAAGAATAAAATCATACAAGCCTAAGGCAATTTACCGAACAGGTGCCTTGTTACATGGCGTTACACACCAACGGCTTCTCTGTTTGGTCTGTGCTCATTTGAATTCTCTTCATTTTCTTGACAGATATGATGGACTAGTCCTGAACTTTATACTCCTCAAGTATTGCTAACATATCAATAAGAGGTGATCTTCTGTTGCTGCTGCATGTAATTGGATCATATTTGCAAGCTTTGCCACGGGCCTCATAGCCTAGAGGTTTTCTAAACAGCAGCAAGCACTGAGACTTATGTGCAGGAATGTGTAATGTAATGGCGGCTGATATATTACTGGCCTATTAGCACGAAAATCCAATTACATTTGTTCTCTAATAAGATTCTGTTTGATAGTTGCAGCCGATAATATTTTGCTACTGATGTTGTTCTTATCTTGTTTCAAGTTGGTACTGTTGACATCTACTCTCTGTGTAAGTTCATATAATGGATTTTGAGGAGTAATTACCTGGAGATGATGCAGGTTTTGTCAATGATACTTATAATTATAACCACAACAGGAACTTTAAGTCATTATAAACAAATAAAATATTCTGAAAATATTATAGGAGTAATAAACATGAGCTTACGTGCACAAAAGTCAGTTCTGAGATGTACTTTGTCCAGCTCCAGAGCTCTCTGTAGCTCTGTTTTGTCTATATTTGTTGGAAATGTAAAAATGTCTAACAGCTTCAAGCACCATGAACTGCATCAAATCAGGCATTTGTGTTTGTTTGAGTTTGCAATACTGAGCTGTCTCCATACTAAGCACTAACATGTTTACTGAGCCATAAGCAACAAACGTCTAAGAACCAGTAAACTGAGTTAATAAACAAGTGCAGTAGTCAAATATGTATATTTGAAAGATATAATGCTCCCATGTCAGTGTACATGGCAAACTGGAGACAAGTGAGCACACTGAAGAAGAAGAGAAAGAAGAAGAAATAATTTTACCTGCCACATACATATTCAAGATATTTGTTCTTAGATTACATACCATTGTTGATGAGCAAAAGCATGTCTTTACATTACAAGCACTAGTTTTCTATATTTAAGTGCAGCACTTATGAATCGCATTCTAAATGCCTGCTAAATGCAGGTGAGCTACAGTGTAATGCTGCACATGAATGCGTCCTTTGTTAACACGGATGGAGCACACACAGCGGGGACTTAGCTGTAATCCAAAGTGCACGGTACAATGCAGCTTAATCTTTGCAAAGAAATGCTGATGAAGCTGTGCTTCTCTGTAGATAACGTACAAGTTTAAAATAAAAAATATTGGATTGCCAAAACTATAAGTTTGCTGAACACAAAAAAAGGAAAAGCTGAACTTACATTCTTGGACTTGGACAAATGTTGCCCTAAATAATAAGAAGATATGACATGATGTCAAAGTCATGGAAATTGAATTTTTTTAACCCTTTCACATTTTTGGTTTTTACAATGAACACGGACAAAAATTAGCATACATGCAAAATATGTCAATTTCTGTAATAGAAAATATCTACACCACAAAAATATGTTTCAATGGATTTTGGCCTTTTTGGTTTTGGATTAATTCAGTAGTGGTGAAAAGTTTAAAACAAGATGAAGATAAAGGATAAAGACTGACAGTTAAATTGCAAGATCTTAAAGTGGTTGTGAAAGATTTGTTTGAATCGAGATACATATAAAAGAGCTTTCCTGTTGGCCATCTGGGATACCTCATCCATTCCTGTAGCGCATGGCTTCAGTGCGCACCACATAAACAAGACAGCAGGAAGTATTTCACTGACAGCTTCTCAAATACAGAGAGTAATGTTAGATCTGAATGTGAAATGCAGTCACGATAAGTGTTCGCCTCTCTTTGATCAACAGTAGTCCGCCCATGCAGCAATTAAGTAAACATGATACAGAAGTGACGGTTTGAATTAGGAGAAATGAGGTGAAATTGACATCTCAATAACCAAACATGATTCTCATAAGACACTACCCCTGGTTGCTCATGTGTATTATCATAATTGTCAGGAGCTGTTAGGCAGAGTTGTTTTCCTCGCTACTTTAAAGCTCAGCATACGTTCAGGCCAGTCTCCTCCTGCCACAAACTTGATGTATTCTGATAGAGGGGGGATGAGTTGAAAGGATGTGATACGAGGGGGAAATTTTAAATATACAACACAAAATATGAGAAATTTGATTAAATGAAAAGCTGCATTGAAGGTGTTGTGGAATTTTTTAATATAAGAATCTTAGTCTGTCTGAAGAAGTAAGGAATAGAAATTTATTCAAAAGGAGAAATCAAAATTCATAAAGTGAGAGCGACCCAGTACTACCGCACGTGAATCGTGAGACATACCAAACCACTCTGCCTGTACAGAAATATGCATCACTATTTATTGGTCCCAGAATCTAGTCAGCAAGGGCTGATCTTCCGTTAGTATAAGATATCCTGTGAACAGTGAATAGTAAGCAATTCAAGGGCACATGTGTCATGTCAAGTCATATTAGAAGAATGTGCTCCTTTATCAGTGTAGGACAGTAAACTGTAATTGTCGTTAGAGTACATGAGAAACAGTTATATCTATGATGATTTGGATTTTTCCTCTACAAAGGAAATCCTCTTCAGGTTTATTTACTGAGCGTCTGATCAGGTTGAACAAATCCGCAGCTTGTTCTTTGTTGATCATAACTTTCTCTTTTGCCGTCCTCAGAGGAAACATTCTGAATTTTTGATTTATTTTTACATGTTTTAGTTGTATGTTAGATGATAACCTTAATGATGATGATTGTTCTTTCACTGCTTTCTGTCTCATTGTCCATCAATGATCTCTCTTAATTAACCAGTACAATGTGTGTGTCTACAAACAAGAATTATTCCTATGACATGATCAAAAGTGGCCATGTTTTACAGGCTTCTGTGCTTCTTAATGATGGCATGACTTACACAGAAAGCTCTTACTCCCCATCAGATCCAGTGGCTTTAAATCTTTGTAAGATAAGTCACATCAGGCACTGTGGATGATGATTTTCAGTGTCTTCGGTGGACATAATCAAGCTGTTGTGAATGTTGTATGGACGGATTGTAAATTTAACAATAATAGGACGGTCAACAGCCATTCATGCCTGTTTCACTGAGCAGTGCAGACTGCAGTGAGTGAGCCAGCTTAAACATTAATGTGAAGAATGAGAATGACAAAGCAGTGGATCTAAAACTATTTATGATGTGTTTCTGAGAGGCTGCTATCTTAAGCACAAAGAAAAATACCCTCAGGTCAAACCTGTAGGAAGAGGCAACATTACCAATTTGAGTGACTCAATTGCACTTCCTCAATTTTCAAAGTCCCCTGGACGTATTTAGGTCTATGAAAAGTCACTTTACCTGAAAATACTGGGTGCTTTTCGTTAAAAATAACAGCTTGTATTTATACTTCTGTGTACACCTAATGGCTTTATATGCTACATAGGGTCACTTGCCTTCAGGTCCAGACTTTTAGAGGTGTGCATAATCGCAAACATGGTCAGAAAAGGGCTGGTGTAGGCTACACAGGTTTGTGTTTTCTAAACAAAAGGGACACTTCGTTGAACAAACTTTATGAATAAAGATCACATGACTGATGTCTCAGTTTGCCTTTTAGACCGGTATAATGAATATGTAGTTAGTTTGCATGTCGTTCACAGTAATGTGAACTACATGTTCACTATACCGGTTGACATAACACGCACTAGGACCAGATTAAAAGCGTGAAAGCTACGTTAACAGAGATGGCTTTGAAACTCAGCTTCCACAATCTGTGTACCTACTGTTTATTTACCTTTTTGTCATTGTGCTAATTATGAAAAATGTGTTAGTTAGCGGATGCCAGTACACGCTTTGTGTGGTCTGCCTCGTTAGACTAAACCCAGTGGATAACTCTAGTGGTGTAAAGTGGGTATTACATGTGATTACTGCATTATCTGTGACAAGACTTGATTGATTATTTGGTTGTGTTTATAGATTTGTGCTTGATAATAATAACAAAAGCAATAAAAGAACATATTTAAGAACAGTATAGCAGTTACTATTTAGTTTAGTTTATTGTCTGAAAACAAAATCAGAAAATAAGAAATATGCTTTCCAAAGCTGGTTGTGTATTATTTGTGTATTATGAAAACCTGTTGTTGAGGTGAAGGCCAGTATTCAGGACATGTTTCAAATGACAACCAGTTCACAATATTTAAACGGATTTGACTTTTTGGGGATAATTAAAGAAAAATGTATAAGACAAAAACCTGTAATAAACCTTAAAACATCATTGCTAAACGGACATCACACAGAGACAGATAAACTCTTCATTTGGTAATATATAAATTCCCAACTTGTATTTGTACTCATGACGAAATGTGCAGCTACATTTCATCACACAGCTTTGTTTGGGGGAATGAAGCAATTCCCCTGTAGTTAAGCTACTCAACTGTGTTGATTTAGTCCACGTATGAAGCTCGCCATCATATCACGGCTGACTTTTTAAACTCAGTACAATGCCAGAGTTATTCAGAAAAGTCTTCACTAGATCAAAGACGTTTATGTTGAAGTTTCAGTCTTAGATTCAGAGTCGTTACAGCTCCATGAACCAAAACAATTACAATGATTCTAAGGAATAGTATCTAAGGATGCCCCAGGATTTGCCTTTGGCAAGTTCACTTTGAGAGAAGAGAAGGCTTTCTTAACATTCCCCGTCGGACAGCGTGTATCAGTATTACTCTGTAGACAATCATACAACGGGGATATTAGTCTGCTTTGAATTAGACAAGATTATATTCTTAAAAGTCGCCTTTTACAATAATATGTCCACGGTCCTGTGTTACAGTGATTAAATAACTGTTGAATTATTTCCGATGGTCATGATAAAGGATGCATGACTTATCTGCAATAAAATAACTATATTTAACTAACAAAGATTGTGTTTGCTCATTATGTCTCCATCATCTTTCACCTCCTCATGTCAGGTCTGTCTGCTGCTGTGTACAGAGCTGTCACAATAAGTGTTCTTCACAGAGATTATGTAAAGGGATAAACTTGATACAATTTGGTACGAAGTCCACAGAGATAATTCAATCAATAACAGCATTTATTTGCATAATAGACTAAGATTTGTTTTTATATATCTACATGAATAAGAAAAAACAAAGTAAAATATCAGTGGATTCAATTAGTTTGAGTTTGTGTTCTTGTGGATCTTAACATATAATTCATGTTTAAAAAAATGTAATTGATTTATACAGTTCTACAAGAGATGTATCAAAGCATCAAAGGTAAATCAAAAGAAAGGCAAAAAAGGGTATTGTTTCTAGTCAATGCAGTCCCAGCAGTCATTTGCCTATTCGATTTCCATCTTGCATGTCAACTGAAAATGTTCCACTTAGGGTATATTACGCCGGGGAATGGAGGCTGGATTAAAGGTGTAAATAGGTCATTAAGAGATAAATTAGGGAATACACAGTCAATGCTCATTCCATGCTTGAACTCATGAGACGAGCAGCTCAGCTCATTCCTGCTTTGTATTCTACAGGCTGCTTTGCTTCTAGCTTGATAACGCAGTTGCTGGAAAGCCATTACAAGTCTGTAAGCACTGTCAGCAGAATAGTCTTTTGTCCGTATAAAATTATTGAAGAATATTGTTCTTAACCTGTTTGTTTTAGGAGTATGCTGTTCATTTAAAAAAAGGAAAGATTATCCCATTCATATGCTTTGGAGGTGGGACCGGGCTTTGAAAATGGAGCAAGCAGAAATGAATCCCCTTTGGATTTTGCTGTTTCTTCACTTCAGTCTCTTGAGTGTGGTGTCTCTGCACGGTTTTGGTTTACTAAATCTCATTCATTTAAGTGTTCTTTTCTGGCTTGTAGATTTTCACCAAATTTGACATTCACGTAATTCTAAATGACTAAAAATGTGTCCTTATCAAGCCACAGGAGGACCCAGGTTGAAAATGTGAGTGCTTGTGTTGTTGTCTGAGGCACTGAATGTGATGCTCAATGGGAGACAGCACTTATACACAGAGATCAGTTTGGTCTCAGTCAGTACTATTACTTAGTCTGTGAAAACAGTTGTACCACATCAACCTTGGCGCCACTGGGAGATTTCCACAGTTGATAATAAATGACCTAAATCATTTCATCAGGGTTGTCTGCAGAATAAAACTCTTTGCATGTGATGCTGCAAAGATAATGGAGTTTGTCAGGTTTTTATAATGCTCTCACAACCTGGTTTTTTCACAGAATGTTTTTGCGATGATGATAACAGAATACTTTGGTTTGCATTTTTATTTTTCAATGTGTAAAGCTGACTTGTGATGTGGAAACCAAAAGAAGCCGAAGCCGAACACACAAAAAGACATGAACTTGATGGGCTTCATCTATATGAGTTAAAATTCCTTTCTCGACAGATACTATATGGACAGCAAAGAGGACGGAGTGAGGTACTTCAGAATCGAAGAGAGCAGCGGTGTCATACGCACAACGCAATCTTTGGACAGAGAAGACATGCCATGGCACAACATCACTGTAATGGCCTCGGAGGTTGGTAGGTACCCAGTTCATTTTCTATTTACCAAATGCTTGTGAAAATGTAATATATGTGAACGTTTACAGAAAAAGCAACAGAAACAGAGTTGTTCACAAATGTGCGTTGTGGTTTTCTTAACCCTAAAAAGTCTGACGCAAGACAAAATGTCAAATATGTAATATAAAGTCTTTGTTTACTCATGACATATAAACATATAAAATGTACACATGTTTTTAACAATTTTTTTATCCATATTTTCTAGAAATGTTTAGTATAATAAACTAAGATGTAGGTAAACAATTGACTGTATGAAAATGAAATAGTACTCAGAAATATATGTATCAAAACTATACATATGGCATGAAAAGGTTAAAGGCAGATGTGGCTATTTTTGCCAGTTATTGTTGGAAATTAAGCCTTTCAAACGTGGCTTTTCTTCTCAGTGTCCCTACCAAGTTATGCTGCATTCCATGTATTTCAGAAGCAGACATAAAAGCACAAAGATTATTCAAATATACAATGAAAAATCTATTTTCTTCGCTGTCTACTATCGACGTTTTGAGGGAACCTTACCCAGAAATCGCGTTGAAGAGCTGAATTTAGCCAAGCACAGGGACACCTAAACAGCAAACAGTCTGCAGTCCTTCACAGTGGAAAGCAGTAGATAAGAAAAACCAAAGTGTAATTCACCAAATAATTCACAGAAATTACATTCTAAATTGCACATTAACGCGTCCCCACCTGCTCGCTACCAGGTGGGAAGCTGCTCCGTTGGCAGTTTTTACATGAAAGTACATTTTCTGCCAACCCAGAATGCATGTGTGTGTTTGTGCCCTCACAGTTTTTTTCATCGGTATTTGTCTGCACACCTTCTGTTTCAACACAAATATCCTGTGTAAAGTACACATATCATTAAAAAAAAGGGAAAAAGTGTTGGAACAGCTGTGTATCTGTAGTGAAATAGACTTGTTAAAGTCTTTAATCATGACTTTGACATGAGTTTTATGGTATGTTTGTTATTCCTAGGGATTTCCTGCATACAATTAAGCTCTGAATTGTAAACCTTTAGAAACTAGAGGAAATTGAAATCCATTTGAAATTAAAGTTTTTCTTTTAATAAGCCAGAACTTGTTGTTTTTCGCCTCAGGGGTCGCAACAATCTTGATTTCTGTCAGGATGTCCTTCCTGAGAACTCTCTCACATTTATCCAGGCTTGGGACCCATTTTAAAGCTGCAATGCAAGCAGCTACGGGTTCAATGTCCATGTCAAAGATACCGCCACATGTAACCAGGGATCGAGTCACCCACCCGCACAATGTCAGGCAACCGCTATCCCCCTGAACCACAGTTTCCCCCCTTAACCAGCCAAAATGTAATAAGGTGTATTTCCCAAGCCTTCCAGTCAGCACATTTTCAAAAGGAAAAAAAAAGCAAAAGATGGTCAAATCTATGGCTTCATAGAGAATAAAAATGATTGGGAGGTGTAAAGATACCCCTCTCTAATGCTTAAGGGCTGAAAAAGACAGTTTGAAAGATGGAGCTTTTTTCTGCACTCTTTTTAGCCCTAAGGTAATCGACATTATATCAGGATCGCATTTAAATCATGAGAAATTTTTGTGCCATGAAAGAATGATCTAGATAGAAGCAATTACAAACGCAAAGGTTAGTGCCATAGCTGTACTTTTTTTCTTCTTTACTCTCCTATCAGATAACGAGACACCCTGAGGGGATCATATCGTGAGAGGGCAGAGTTGGTTCAAATTCATAGCGGGTAAAATTGAAGTAAAAATCAATATCAACAAAAGAAAGGTTCCGTAAAAAGAAATATGTGAATCTGCACTGCACAGGTTCCCTTTACCTACAGAAAATGACCTGTAAACTGCAGAGCAGCACACTACAAGCATAGCTATTAAAAACATCTCCACGGAATAAGATGTTACACATTAGAAATGTGCTCAAACAGTCTTGTCAAACACCAGTACTCAGGGGCCACTCTTCTCCAGCTTGTATTTGTTTCCCTGCTCCACAAACCTGATTCAAATTAAAAGGCTATCTTTAAGACTTCAACAAAAAAGCTGAAAAAAAAGTTCAGGAAAAGAAATGTAAAGGACCCATTCATTTTAATAAGGTATATTAAAGAGGAAATGTTTAAAAACATGCTTGACAGTGGTCCCTAAGGAATAGAGCTTGACAATGCTGTACTAAATGATAGTATAATGATTACGCTTGTCACCAACTCCCCATTGAAACATTAGAGCAGATTGTATTTAGGACAAGCAGGTAACAGACCATAACTGGCCTAATCCTGCTTACTATTACAAGTTACTGAGTAAAGTCCATTATTTGTGAGCTAAATTATGACAATTATTTACCATGCATCCATTCTCTATCACACTAAACAAAGCCAACAAAAACACAGGCAAACCCCAATTCTGTTTAACAAAACAACTGTAAATTTCTTATTTGCAAAGTGATGAAAATGTTTCAAAAAAGGATGAAGTGGATTTCCTTCAGTTACCTTGAAAATCAATTCCAATTGTCTCAATGCCTATCCACTAATTAAATCAATAGGATTCCTTCTAATTCCAGGAACAGCTATAAGGTAAATTGGGTAATTTGTAATCACAGTTAAGCATATCTCCTGCTGACCCACATGTATTCCGCATGCTAATGCTTCTTTATCTTGTCATCTCTCTTTAGTATTCAGGGAAACAGTTACCTGCCAAGATCGTGGCAAAAGGCTACAATACATTTTTACTGCTTTGAATAGGCAAAGACGTGACGTAATAATGCAGGACACAGGGCCCAACATTCCCCGTGCAAACCATCGTGCAGAGCTTTTGAAGAGTGCGTAGAACCTACCAAGGGTGCACGTGAATTAGAGAACAAATGGATTTCAGTGCCTTTTTTTATTAACTCACCTTGGAGCTTGAAATGAAAAGCATAAAGATTTGTCTTTTAATACAGTTGATACAATGTCCAATATTTATTTGATTGTGAAAAATAAAAAACGCAAAGCCAGAGGTCCTGTACGTGTAAGATGAAATAGCTCAAGAGGTGTGCACCTGTGTGACATTTTTCGCAGGTTTATTAATAGAGAACTTAATATACGTTGTAAAAAAGTTATTTTCTATTTTCTAAGACTGCTGATGTAGTGTGTTGACTAAAGAAATGTTTCAAATTTAAGAAGAAAAGCTGATGCTGTGCAAAGGCCAGGGTCACAAAGTTTTAAAGGCATAGACTGTCAATAAAAAATGGGAATGTCCTGACGATTATAAATTTGAATTCAAAGCTCCATTCTTTGCAGAGTTTGGCAAGGGGTGAGTCTTCTAGTTGCAAAATATTCTTTTGAAATTAGAGAAATGATTCAAAATGATCTCAGTCAAATCTTATGGAACATAGTGCAAATGAGTACCACACTGGCCGGCTTAGTGTACAAGTTTCATTGTTTATTATGGTTTTAGCAAGAGGAGCATTCTGTTTTCCTGTCTTTGTGTGTCAAGTCCTTGGTTTAACTTACTTTTGGCTTCCCTTTGTTCTTTGTTCTCTCTCCAATAGACAACCCCAGCCTTCTCAATCACGTTCCTGTTACAGTCCAGGTCCTAGACATGAATGACAATCCCCCAGAGGTTGCAACCGACCAGGAAGTCATTGTGTGTGAGAGCTTAAAGCTTAATGAGGTGAGTGTTTGAGATTTACCTGGAAAAATACTTACACCTATTAGGATTTTCCCCTCTGTCAATGTCTTCGCTCATTTAAAACATGATAGACCTCAAAGACCCCTCCGACAAAGAGAGTGTGCAGAGCTGTCCATTAACCACGGCCATTTCCCTGACTGCATGCACTCTGTGCTGAACTATTGTTTCCATCAGTGTTTTGGGTTGTTCAGCGAAAACGAAGCAGTAACAACTGTGAAGGCACTGGAGAGAGCTGCTTAATCATCCCTTATTCAAAACGAGTATCTCAGCAGCAAACCATGACAGCTCCAAATCGAAGCTCATTCCAATTTGCTCTCAGTAGTCTTTGATTCATTCAAATTAAGAAGGTTTTTGAGATACAGAGCAATCAGCAGCATGGAAATGGCTGAAAGGGTGGTTCTATAAAGACTGGGAAGACACAACTAAATACATTTTTCATAGTTGAAAGCTGGTGGAAGAAAAGTTTGAGTGAAAGTTTGAATTGAATTTGAATTAAGGTTACATTTTAGCCTCTGGCTTCTTGTCCCGGGGGATTAAGTGGTAAGAATTTAAGAACTGCACTGAGCTGATATATGTAAAAGAACATTGTTTCTCATCAGTGACTTAAAAACTACTTTTTAAAGACTATTTTCTATCTCTATTCAGATGTCTTCAGAATTTCAAGAAATCACATACAAATGAAGTAATTTCTTCTAATTTCTAAGGGAAAAAAAGTTTGATTATTTTTATGGAGACACCTGCAGATTGATTACAACAAATATTCCTGTTACTAGCAAATGCAACGGGAGCTACTTCCTGTCAAACTGCTACCTCCTACCCGTAGTCATGGGAGCTGGAACCAACCCACGATTTTTGAAGGGTCATTTGACACCAGACTGCATTCCAATTAAACTCATTCAAACTCCACTTAAAACCCAGATGTTAGTGGGTATGCCCATTTAACAAAGTCTTACTTTTTTCCATGTGTAGGCTGTCTATCTCCCAGCTAACATTAAACTGGAAGAGGTAGTTTTAATTATTTGTCATATTATAATGGTTACAGTTAATGTCTACATTATATATTTGAGTAATATTGTGCTCTCTTTTGGATTACACATTATTGCCCAAAAGCAACTGTAGGTTTGTGTTGGATTGTATTATATATTTTGAGAAATAGTATATAGAGATATGAATATATATGTCAAGAAATAAAATAATCACAACAAAAATTGAAATAAGACTTGTGGCCCATTGACCAAAAGTGTTTAGTTTACCACATATTCTAATTAAATAATAAATTAATCTCCCTGGTGACGGAAGGGTTTGGAGTCAACATCTGGCAGCTATTTTGAAGCACTTCCCTGGTGCCTTCACCGTAGTGACAGCAGATCTTTTCCGTCATCTTCTTTGATCGTTCACTAGAGGCCTTGATAATCCTGCAACTTTCTGCATTCCTGGTGGCAGAAATGAAATAACTGCCTGACAGAAAACATTGTTATTGCTATGGCATCATTGGGAGTCAATAAATAATCTGTTGTCTACTATACACACACGTATAGTGCACAAACTTTGATTTAAATATTTTATGAAATGAAGTCAGAATATACAGGTAATTCCTTTGAAATGTTTTCAGTATATTTATGTGCATATTAGTTGAAATAAGAAATTCTAAGAGGTTCTGGGGATTCCTGCCTGCTCAGCAGTCAAAAGACTGTACTGGAGTACTATTTGAAATTCTAAATACTTGATATCTAAATAAATTCAAACAGGAAGAGTCAAAGCTGGTTACATTATTCTGATTTCCTTCACAAAAATACACATGGACAACAGCCTTTTACCCAGGCATTGGTAAACTAACAGCCAATAGCATGATTGTATCAGCTGGATCCGAAGCATGTCATCATCCTCTTAATGATCTTTTTCTTTTGATGAACAGGTGATCCAGACTGTCACAGCGGTGGACAAGGATGACTTTGCCAACGGCCAGAGGTTTTCTTTCGCCTTGCCGAGCCATCTACCCGTTAATCCCAACTTCACCCTGAAGGATAACGAGGGTAATCAAAATTATTAATGTATTTGTTTGTGAACCATGGTGACCTCCTCCTGGCCTTGATAGCGGGCTTTTTGTCATGTGGGTATGGTGAGAATGTGAAGACTCCAATACCACAGGGATCTATTCCGATTGTGGCCTGTGTGAGAGATAAGAGTCGTAGAGCTCTGGTATGTTTCTGCATTGTGTTGTCAAATGGATTACCCACTAAGGCGCTCACTCTCTCCACCTCCCGTGTTTCATATTGCACCTGCAACTGTTACCATAGCAACCATTTCAGTGTCAGGTGAATACCTAGCCCAAGGGTGGTCTGCAATAACAGGGCTTTTTATAAGCTTTCAGAGAGAAGATCTCACAGTTGCCATTTGAAAAAGCAGAGTTCACAGCACTCCGGATGTGGGCCAGAGAGCAACATAAAAAACTGAGATGAAGGTCATGCAAGAAAGATTTTTAAAAAGAAAGAAATCAATGTGATAATGGGAGGTAGGCCTTTTTTAATCCTTCATCAAATTGCCTCCTGGCTTAAGCCTTCCTGTGCTTGCTTGTGCTTTAGTGGAGTGCAGAGGCAAGTTTAGCTTCTGCATTCATGAATGCAGCACACAGAGACACCCCCTCACCTCAGTCTCACCTCCACTTTCAAAGGGTAAATTAATCAAACCAAGGTAAGGGTTGTAACAGCTCTCCAAGGACACCAATCTCCAGCAGGACAAAGAAAGGCCACAGTTTTTTACACAGACTAGCATGGACAGTCGGGTATTGAGGATACGAGAAGTGGATGTGGGATGATTGTTATTGGGGACAGAACATACACTTTACTCACTGTACAGTTATTGCAAGCTTGCTCTGTCCGTCGCTGAATTTCAAAATGTTTGAGGAATCCAAGCAACTTTAAGAGTACAAAAAATAATTAATCATTCCAGGTTGGATTGAAAGTCTGGCAACATTTGGCTGTTCTCGTCCCAGTCGTCCAAAAAATGCCTTCTTTTTTGCATTTTACCCTTAATATGATTATAAATATGCTATGAAAATGCTTGCTAAATGTATATTACCAACAATTACACATCCAGGAGTACAACCTGCCACCACGTGCATATGCCACGTAAACAAAAGACAGCTTCAGCTTACAGAAAATGGCCGATTCTCATCAGCTCACACTTCACTTTGGAGCAAAGGAAGAGGGCTGACAGAATCAGAATCAGAATCAGAATCAGAATCAGGTTTATTGCCAAGTAGGTTTTCAGACTTACAAGGAATTTGCCTTGGTGTTTAGTGCACAACACAACACTTCTATGAGAAGCAAAATTAAAAAGTAGAAATAAAGATATAAGTCAGAATGATAAAACTGAAAAATACAATCTTTAAAAGTATAAATCTGAATGTACAAATTAACAATCTTTAAAAATATAGATTTGAATGTGCAAATTAACAATTGAAATGTGCAATGTTGATCTGCAACGACAGACCAGAAAATGCTGGAGCATTGGGTAAAATTAGTGAGGTAGAGGGGGGGGGGAGAAGAATAGGTGGGGGTCGCTGGTCTTGTTGATGAGGCCAGTTGCTGTTGGATAAAAACTGTCTTTATGGCGTGAGGTTTTGGTCCTGATGGTCCTCAACCTTCTGCCAGACGGGAGAGTTTCAAAGAGTTTGTGACCAGGGTGAGAAGGATCAGACATGATCCTTCCTGCACGCCTTAAAGTCCTGGAGGCGTACAGGTCCTGAAGGGTTGGCAGATCACAGCCAATCACCTTCTCGGCTGAGCGAATGATACGCTGCAGTCGGCCCTTGTCCTTGGCGGTGGCAGCAGCGTACCAGATGGAGATGGAGGAGGTGAGGATGGACTCAATGATGGCTGTGTAGAAGTGCACCATCATTGCCTTGGGCAGGTTGAACTTCTTCAGCTGCCGCAGGAAGAACATCCTCTGCTGTGCTTTCTTTGTGAGGGATCTGATGTTCAGCTCCCACTTGAGGTCCTGGGTTATTGTGATCCCCAGGAAACAGAAGGACTCCACAGAAGCAATTGTGGAGCCACACAGAGTGATGGGAGCAGGTGGTGCTGTGTTCTTCCTGAAGTCTACAACCATCTCCTCTGTCTTGAGCGCGTTGAGCTCCAGGTTGTTGGCTGCACACCAGGACACCAGACGGTCGATCTCCCACCTGTAGGCGGACTCGTCCCCATGTGAGATGAGTCCGATGAGGGTCGTGTCATCCGCATACTTCAGGAGCTTGACAGACTGGTGGCTGGAGGTGCAGCTGTTGGTGTACAGGGAGAAGAGTAGGGGGGAGAGAACACAGCCCTGGGGGGATCCAGTGCTGATGGTCCGGCTGTTGGAGGTGTGGCTTCCCAGCCTCACATGCTGCCTCCTGTCAGATAGGAAGTCGGTGATCCATCTGCAGGTGGGGTCAGGCACACCCAGCTGGGAGAGCTTGTCCTGGAGTAGAGCGGGGATGATGGTGTTGAAGGCGGAGCTAAAATCCACAAACAGGATCCTGGCATAGGTGGCCGGGGAGTCCAGGTGCTGGAGGATGAAGTGGAGAGCCAGGTTGACAGCGTCATCTATAGACCTGTTGGCTCTGTAGGCAAACTGCAGTGGGTCCAGGTGTGGGTCTGAGATGTCTTTCAGGTGGGCGAGGACAAGGCGCTCAAATACCTTCATCACCACGGAGGTCAGGGCGACAGGTCTGTAGTCATTGAGGCCTGAAATCTTTGGTTTTTTGGGGACGGGGATGATGGTGGAGGTTTTGAAGCAGGCGGGCACATGGCATGTCTCCAGCGAGGTGTTGAAGATGTCAGTGAACACAGGAGACAGCTGGTCTGCGCAGTGCTTCAGGATGCTAGGAGAGATAGAGTCGGGTCCAGCTGCTTTGCGTGGTTTTTGTTTCCTGAATAGACTGGATACGTCCCTCTCCTGGATGGAGAGAGTCATGGTAGTTGACGGAAGGGGGTCCTTCAATGTGGGCAGTTGAGGGTGGGGGCAGGCCCCCGCTGAGGTGGGGGTGGGGGTGCAGGAGGGCAGGGGCTGGTGGTGGCGGGGGATGGTGTTGGTGTTAGGACTGTCCCATTGTCTTTCAAATCTGCAATAGAAGTCGTTCCCCATTGTACGTACCCTCCATGTGTTTAGGCTATTGACACAGATTTACTTTTGATATGTATGTGTGTATGTTTTTGCTGTTTTCTTAAAAAGCTTTGAGGGAATCTGAATGATTTGATTTCTTTGTCATGTCTCTCTTAACCCAGCTGCAGGTATTTGTGGTTCCCAGAATCACCGTAAATAAGGGTGAAGTGTAAAAATGGATGTGTGGAGTTTGCACATTTTCAACCCACATTCTTTCTAAATAAGTAAGGACCTGTTTGCGTTGTAGAAAATGTGCACACAGGGTTTTTACTGCACCGTTTGTGCATCTGGCCCCAGGTGTTGAGGGTATGAATGGATTATTTTTATCACTGATGAGAATAGAGAAAGGGCAGTGAGTTACCTCCCCGGGCATAAAAGAGGACAGAGCATCATGTCTGTATGAGTGTTGACTCAGCAAATATAATATTGAATGGAGAAAATTGACAGGGGCATAAATTGAAAACAGCAGAGGATGCCGAAAACTTCACTCTGTTTTATTCCATTACATTTTGAATCATCACCCGGAGCCAGAGTTTTACTTTTTCATCACATGGCAACGGATGCTGCAAAAGCATAACTGAAGCCTAGTAAGTCAGCAGAAGCCAGGGGAGAGCTTTAGTTTTCAGAATATCATGGAGGACAAATCCTTAGGATGCCCTAAATGGCCCCTTGATAAGGATCCAGGGAGTCATTTGGTTTTTCATGCTGTTCATTTTAACTCAGGCTGCAAATTGCAAGTTTTCAAATAAAAAAATAAAAAAATCTCCATCTTTTTGGTGAAACCGCTGGGATAATTAAAGCATATTCTCACTTTACTAAGAAAGAGGTCAATTCACCTTTTATGCTCAATGGAGACGGTGTTATTCTCAAAATGTGTGAGATAAACCGTATGAGTCCACGTATTTAAAACGATACTCTGCTTTTTTGACTGCTCTACATGTTGGTGTAGATTCTTGACAGTCCAGTTGCCTTTTTTTAAGCTCTCAGGCTGACTATTCCAATTTTGGGTGTCTTAGTTATTTTACAATTCAAGTTATGTGCTGTTCAGTGAGAAAGACAGACACAATGCACCCCATCGTTGACTTCTTGGGCTGATAATTAAAGTAAGCTCTCCACACTCAGAGCAGCTTCTTTCATTGCTGTTGTTGCAGACTAACAGTTGGTAGCTGGTTTGTGCCAAGGCCTAATACCTCCCTCTGTTGTTGTGCAACTGAAGAAAATCCCTCTCACTCACTCACACCACTAACTCTCTCCTGACCTCGTTTTTCCTCTTCAGTTACACTTTGCTCTCAAAGGATCTTCCACAAACTTGAATTGTTGTCGGTCTTTGCACATTTTCTTGCAAATGGAAAAAAGGATTTAGTTAGAGACTCTGACCATTTAATGCCTCTCTCTGTAGTCGAGCACCCAAACGCATCAGATACTGATTCCCCCGTTCTTACTCTGTTCTGTTCATTTGGCAGCTGGGATTTATGAAGAACCCATTCATTAAACGGCTCTGGCTTTTTAAGGAGGATATTTTCGGTTCTTGATAACATCAGTCTGTTCCATAGTCTTGTCACCAAATGGGGCATTTCTACGACGGCCCCATGCCGTGCTCAGTTGTACGTTTTTAGCACATTTTTTGTAGTTTTGAAAAATGAAGCCAGGCTGCTGCAGCCTCAGAGTTGCTGTCTGTATATGTTCATTCAAGTAAAGTGCAGCAATTATTACAGTAAGTGCAGGTCAACATCCTTCAGTGCTACAGGCACTATTAAAATGGAAAAATATGAGGATGTTCTGCTCACCTGTCCGAGGTGAGCACCGAAGCCCCTTTAAATACATTCAGCTCAGCCACACACACGTCACAACGTCTGAAAATTGAATGCCTCTTTGATCTTGTTATCTGTCATATTTGATGACATTTTCTTTTTAAAAGGCAATTAAACTGAGGCTATGAGCTCTAAATAACTTGCATATTTGAATAGAATAATTGATTTCTGAAGGCATTTCCTTCCCATGACAGTCCAAAGACCCAGTATTGTAGTTAAGCAGCTATGCTCAGAAGAATGCTGTCGAGCTGTACGTGGGAAACTTAATCAGCTTTTATGTCACACTCACGCCTTTTGCAGTTGGTGTTTTACGTCTTGATTTCAGAGAGGTATTATCTCTTAAAAGGATGTGATTTATGAAGAAGACAGAGACTTTACACGTGTCACTTTCATCTTTTGTCAAAAACCTGTCAGAAAGGAGCTCATAGGGGCGGTTTATCCAAAGCTTCATGCAATCATAGATCAAGGCATTTGTAATAATCATTCCTTTTTTTTTTGTTAAAATGAAAACATTGATGTCCTGGTAATTTAATAACGCAATGTTTTAAAGAATGAACTTCTTGTGTTCAGAAAGGCTCCAAGAAATGTGTGATTTTGTTTGTTTGTTAGTCTATAAAAGAAATCCCCAGACCCCAAATTAATTTAAATATCCTCAAAAACATCTCTAACACTACTTCGTGATATCATGAATATATTGAAAGCAGAGGTTATTATTATTATTAGTAGTAGTAGTAGTAGTAGTAGTAGTAGTAGTATTGATTTACAAACAGAGATCAGAGCTGGGCATGCTGTATAAAGTTAAGTCTTACAGTGCAAAGCTAATCCTAATTAATTGTTGGGGCGCCATTAATTGGAGACTTAAAAAATGCATTTTAATGTGTTTTTATTTTGAATGCCTGTTTTTGTCCAAGTAAATCCCCTCCAGCTCCTAAAACATTGGTGATATGTGGATTGCCTGAACGACTGCAGATGTTAACTTAAGTTAGTTGAATGGAGTTTTTTTGGGGGGGGAAATGTTGAATTAGATTTGTGTGAACCTGCATACAGAAATAGATATGCCAAGTTACAAAGGCCATTACTTTTTTCCAAATAGGTTGGACAATGTGCAGCAGGCAAACCTTTAAGATAAAGAAACCATCTAAAACTGTCGGTGTAACAGGCACAGACAAAAGACAAAAAAACAGAACGAAGGCCAAATAGTTCTAACAATCACCCTAACCTGGATTATAAACCAGGAACAAGAGTGAAAATGATTGTTTAACACCTGCTAGTTGCTGAAGGTAATGTACAAACAGGCCAAACATGTTAAACGAGTAAATATATCATATAAAAAATCGTGACCACAAATGTATACTTCCCCAAAATAGTGGCACCACATCACGTTCTGTTAGCTTCTAAGTGCCAACTGGAGGGAAACCAATTCCCATCAGCAGCACCCACACACACCCACCAATTTCACCAAGAACACAGCGAATGCATGTGTAGGCAAGTGCGAAGTCTGTGGAAAGGTGGCAACGTCTTAGGTGTCTGTTCTTATTTATATTTCATTTTCTGTATTATATTCCATTTTTCTACACAGATAGTCAAAAGTATGGAAAGAAATATACATTTAATCTTCTACAATCTTCTGCAAACAGCAACTATTATGTCGAGTTAATTTTCTTCTTTTAATCTACTACTGTGAGATTTTATCTCATCACATCTTGTAATGTAGAGACTTGAATACATGTGTTATTTCTAATTGAAAAGGTAAAAAATTGGCCATTTGCAAGTGCTGCCTTAACATTCTCAATGCAATTAGCACCTCACATGCACAGACATTATTTTTCATTTATCTTATACGAAATCAGAACGCAGACTTTATTACTGGTCATCTGCGAAAGGATATGCATGAAATAGCCCATAATCACTTGTAATGAAGTTTGACATTTCTTAAAGGGGTATTTCTCCTCATTTCCTGGTCACCTGCTCTGTACGGCAGGTAATATCACATATTGGCAGCTATCGGGCCAGAGTTAAACTGAGCCTGTGCAAAGTCGCCATCTCCTCATATGTGGACACAGTGTGGCTGCAGATGGCCCATCTCACTGTGACGTTAATCAACAGGCAGACTGCTGTCCTCCACCCACCTGCGACGAAGTACAGGCTGATATGAAATTACCATGACATAATTGATGTAAACCTTGTCAAGTGATCTGTCTGTAAAAAGACCCGTGTTAATGTAGTTCGGCTCTTCAGTGTGGAAGGACCGTGATGATGATCAGCCTCTGTCTTCATCCTTTTTTCTCAGACACACACACACACACACATAGGCTTACCCCATTCCTTCCAATCCCCATCTCTCGTGCCCACTATTTGCATCTCGCACACTCGTCTCTCTGAAACCCCCAACCCATCTGCTTGCTGATATGGTGATACAGCGAGTCTGACTTAATAAAGCTTGAAGTACGTGTTGTCATTCCAACTGTCGATCATTATAATTATTCATAGTTGGAGCATGGATTGGAGTGGGAGGAGAGGTCTCAAAGCAGCAGCTTGATAGTACAGAACGGCAGAGGAGTTTTCACTGGGCAGAGAGTTAAGTTTGCCCTTGTGCACGATTCAGCATTTTTTAGAACTTAAATAGTGTCAAAATGCATCAGGGTGCAGTGTCATCTTCAGGTTTTTATTAAATCTGTGATGTATATACACTTGTATGTGTTTGTAGTCTTTAGAAATCCACTTAGAATACTGACATTAGGAAGTAAAAATGGATTATTTCAGTACAACCTCAGATGAAAAACAGTGTATGACACACTGTCTTAATTTATGGAATAAACAGCTTTTCCCTGTGATTCAGCCATCGTTATCAGGAATTATCTGAAGTAGTCTTTTCAGGTATGTCATGAACAGTCTCACTTATTTGTGGAGGGCGTATGGGCAAAACGTTATCTGTGCAAAAAGAGTGTCCGTTAAAAATATTATTTACTTCACAGTCAGCCAGTAATGTCAGTATTGTTTGGGGTAAAAAGATAAATTAATAAAAAGCAGTCCTAATTTTGGGGAAAAATAACAGCACTTCTATTTCTGTGACACTGAAAAGTTCCCAGTCATCTTTAGAGTTGGTTGAAAATCAATGAGCAACATCCACTTTTTCCTCTGACAGCAAACAGCCTGAAGTAATCCATAATGTACACTGCATAACTCTGTCTGGGTACTGAATTATGTAATTAGTAATTAGTGTTTTGTTCCACAGTCCGCTAAGGCTGCCTCGGCTAACTACAGCAGGGGACAGAGCCTGCTGCGGTTACTATAGATTTTACAATGTAATGCCTGTCAAGGTTAGTATTTTCTTATTTGGAAAAATTCATCACCTCACGGGTGGTGAGTGGATGAGGACCAACAAGTTTAGACATGGCAGCAAGAGAAAACTAAGTTTATTTGCAAAAACAAAAAAAGGAAAGACACGGATAACCAAACTTAGACTTGAATAAAGCAAAACACTACAGAGAAACTAAAAGAATTTGACTGAAGAAAAACTAAAGGGCAAGGAGGCAACACTCTGTGTGGGAACGCTGAGAAATAATAGAGTGAGAAAACTCTTATGGAGCTTATGGTCCCAAAGGAGGGTGATTAGTGAATGAGGGGCAGTTGAGCCCACTAATGCAGGTAAAGGGAGTAGAGCTGATGACCAGATTGGAAAAAACACTGAAAAGACTGAGTGGAGATGACAGGCAACCTGGAAAGCAGGAAAAGAAAAAAAACTGAGAACATAGAGCTGGAAGAATGATGGACATACAAAACATCTGAGGAACCAGAAATCGCAAGAGAACTGAATACTGGGGCAAAAAAATACAGAACATGACACAAAAATCATTGTTCTGAGATAGAGACAATGATGATTTATTTCTATCCAATAGAAATAAAAAAAGAATTAAATTGAAATTGTGCAAGTCCATTTTTTATTCAATGTATGTGAGAAATATGTCTGTTTGCTTCATCACTTTGCTTCTGCAAATATTTAGTCTTTTCGTTTTAAGCTGTCTACAGGACATCGCCCATTAACAGGCGCTTCTACACAGGTCAGGGTGGGCTTTTCTTTTTCAGCACAAAGTAAATTAACATCTCTGAAAGGGATTAGCCTCTGCACACTTGAGCAGCAGACACATTGAAAAAATACCTGTTCAAGATACTTCCGAAGCAATGATATTCAGTTTGAAAAGGCAGGTGTTGTTGACTGGTGCTTATGGTTGTATATTTATGGTAATTGCACGCTTCACTGAACGATTATTGCAACTGAAAGGAAAGAGGACACGTCGAGTAGCCTTTTTTAGCCAAAAAAGGCTCTTATTTTTTTGGTGACGCTGGCTTTTTTCTGTTACAGATAGCACGGCGAGCATCATCGCTAAGCGGCGGCGTTTCAACCACCTGACCCAGGAGCTGTACGAGCTGCCCGTCGTGGTGTGGGACGGCGGGGAGCCATCGCTGAGCGGCACCAGCACCTTGACCCTACGGGTATGCCCTTGCCAGCGCCATGGCCGGATCCGGATATGCCAGGGCGAGGCCTTCCTCTCCTCAGCAGGTCTCAGCACGGGGGCTCTAATCGCAATCCTGCTGTGCATCGTCATCCTGCTGGGTAAGCTGGGGGTGGCTGCTGGGGCACATCAAACATCATGAATCCATGGACGGAGGAGATGGACCATAGAGGAGCAAAGAGAAACTGGAGGGGGGTTCAAAGTGGAGGACAAGGTCATAGAAGGATGAGTAGTCGTAGGAGAACACGAAGGGAATTTGAATGAGAAGTTGGCAAGGGGGGGCGGGGCTTGTAAGATAGAAAATATGTGGGTCCTTAAACAAAAGGAGCATAGCGAAAAAAAACACCTGAGATAAGGTGACTGGAAAAGCCATCACTGGGGCAAAAACAGAGCTCAGAATGTGATCAGTTGAATCCTGCAGATTATAATCCTAACCTCAGAGCATTTGTCTTGAGGAATTTATTTTAGCATTTGGATCTTATAAATAAGAAAATCTAAATTAGACTTATTTATCATATGTTGGTAGCTGGAAATCGTATCAACTTCCCTCACTGGAAACTGTTCCATTATTATAATTAATATCATTAGACATAAGGTGCATGCATAATTTCCAACCTAAAACTGCATTATCATGAATTGTTTGATTCATATCTGGAATCCTTCAAAGAGAAAGGTAGCTGCTTAAGTAAAATGTGTCCTGTTGAACAGTGCGTACCCATCAGGTTTCATGAGCTAAGGTGAAACAAGCCGAATTTTGGTCACCAAATGGAGTGGATGAATTATTCCGGAAATCATCTGGTATGAAGATGTCAATGAGACTGCGATGAGAGAGAAGAGCTAAATTAACTAATGGCTCCCAAAAACATGGTGCTCTCCTTACTTGTTGGAAATGTGATTAGGTGATGGGCGGGGCTGGAAATGCTGAGCAATAGCCGTTGCTGAATGATACGGATAAGTTGAAGAATTCTGGGTTGAAGACAGGTTTCAAAGGTTTTATGGGCAAACTGAATTTGGCTCTCAGGTGGACCAGCTAGATGCCTCAATGTTTTTCCAGTGAACACTTTCCTGTAGGGTCTCAGTCGATTGCAGAAAGGATGCTATTATGTGCTTTTGCCATTGAGGAAAACTGTTTCCAGTTCCTGGGTGCTTTGAGCAGATAAGCCATTGCAGTAACATGACACAGCATTCAGAAAAACACTGTTTTCCATTTGTAGTGTGAAGGAAGTGCTCTGCACCATGAATACAAAAGATCATCAGAAAGACCTTTTTGATGTTTCCAGACTGTCACAGCTAGAAAACATGTCTTGTGTCAAGGAGAGTGTTTCCCCAGTTTCTATGGCAACATGTCTATGTAGTGACATGCAATGATTAAATAAAAATAAACGCACAAAAATGGTCATTTCACATGTTTAGAGGCTGGGTTTGGTGTGTGGAGGTGCGCAGTCTGGAAAATTACATGCAGTGTAGGTAGAAGACCTCATGCACTCTGAATTTAGAAGTGGATTTAAAACAATCACCTGTCAACTCTTTGTGTTTCCTATTCTTCCTCTGCAAGCCCATCTGTATCAGAGCGTGATTAGAGAAAAGTGTCTCATAGCACAGTGCTCCTCTCCCCTCCCCTCATTACTTATTGTCTGCGGACATTAGTATGTGAAGGTTATGCATATTCATACCGACTGTCTTCCTCCTCCGTGCCAAAGCCTGTGGATGAGGCAAACAAAAGGCCATTACCACTGTTGGAGCAATGCCTTGAATCATTACACATCGGCATGATACAAATTCTAGTGGAAAAAAAACAAAAGCAGGAGCCAAAGGAACCGGCGAAATCAGTTTTTATTTTTTTCTCTTTTCAATGGAGAGGTTGACTTGTGTTGCAGCTGGTATTCACATTCTCTCATCCTGTAGCCCAACTACTGCACGCCAGCTCTCCTTGAGATATGACCATTTGTCAGGAGGCACTAGACAAGAGGAAAATAAAATTAAACTCATTCAAAACTTTGCTGTTTGACATGCTGGTGAGTTCTAAGCACAATAATCACAATTCATTATCCACAGAGCTATGATTAAGAGGTAGCTGGTGATCCCTGGTGAAACACTCCCTCTGTGTATCGTCATTGAATACATTTTTTTTTATTAGATTACTCAACACAATGTGTTTAGTTCAGTTAAACCAATCCAAGGTTTTTCTTTTAATTATGAACACGAAGGCTTAAAAAAAAACCTGTCTTGTGCTTTTTGAGTCTTCTAAATAGAAAGCTTTACTCAATTTCTTGTTGATGTGTATGTAATTCACAATATTTCTGCAAATATTTCCCTGAACTTTTTTAACATTCATTCTCAGATTTTAGTCTCATGTCATCTATTCTCCTTTTTTGTGTGTTCAGCCGCTGTTCAAAAGCAGATTTAGTTAAAACTATATGAAAAAAAGGCTTGTGTGTGCTCGTATGGGCAAATTAGCCTTAATGCAACATCA